CTAGGGATGGGTATCGTTAAGGTTTTAACGGTATTACTACTCTTACCGATACTGCTTATCGATTCGGTACTTTAATGGTATTCTTATCGGTACTTTTTGTTTTATATATATATATATATATATATATATATATATATATATATATATATAACAAAGATTATTGGAGTGCATGTTTACAAGAAAAGTAGTTTTTTCTACTTCAAAATGGCAGGTTTAATTCAGTGTTTCATTGTAATTATTTGTGTTTAAATACATACATAAATTTGAACAGAAATGCATTTGAACATTTGAACAATATGCCATTTTTATGTACTTTGTGCTTTAATAATGTAATATGTTTATGCCAAAAAATGATAAATATAAGTAAAATGTAGGTTACACAGCCTGGTAATAGCTTTGCCTGTGCTTTTGATATTCTGTTATTATCATTAACAAGAACTGAAAAAAAGTAAAAATGTTACTTGATACAAAATAAATATGAACTGAAATAATATAAACAGCCCAAAGTCCAGGTCTGCCGGAAAATATTTACCCCATAAAAACAGCAGCTCGCTGTTCACACACTTTCCAGTGTATGCATGTGTGCAGAATGATACTACATACTCAACCATATTTTAGTATATAGAGTATGGTGTATATTTTATGGTACAGTAGGCTACTAGTCAAAAGTTTGGAATAATTAGGATAATTAAAGTAAATGTTGTCTATTTTAATGCATAGTTTATTCCTGCACATCATTACTCCAGTCTTCAGTGTCTCATGATCCTTCAGAAATCATTCTGATATACTGATTTGCTGCTTAATTATTTTTGATGATCAATTATTAATAATGGTTCTTATTATCAATGCAGTTTTTGCTGCTTAATATTTTGAGTATTTTTCATCAAATAAATGCAGCACTGGTGAGCATTAAAAACATAAAAAATCTTAATCATTCCAAACTTTTGACCAGTATACTACATAATGCAGGATGCAATAATAAACTTTGTAAGCTTCAGTACGCTACACTTTTGTCACATAACCTTACTATACACTATACAAAATAAATGTGTAATTATTACATAACATATCTTACATTTAAGCTTAAGCATGCTCTTTATAGACACTGTAGTCACCTTGGCAAACACTAACTTACTAAACACTTCATTAGAGGTAAATGCTTGTTTTGGAAAAAAACTGTCACAGCAACAGAAATGTAATGCAATTATGTAATTTATGTTAAAATGGAAATACAAAAATGTAATTGTTTGTTTATTTATTTTTAGATTATTAGAATTTTTAAAAAATGTCATTTTTAATTGGATTTTTTGGATCCATTTTACAAATTCAAAATGGATCAGGGACATCTAAAAGAAAAAAAAAAAAAAAAAAGTTTCCAAAGCAACATCTCATTTTCATGTTACTTCATTAAAATAACTAAAATAACCACTATTAAATAAAAGCTATAGACCCATATAAAAAATAGAATAAAAAAATGACAGAAAACACAACATTAAAATATTAACAAATTAAAGCAAAAACAGAAAATATACATAAAAATATCTACAGTAATTCAAAATATCTGCAAAACTATAATAGTATTATCAGTGATACTCCATTAACACTGTTATTACAGATCCAGTTGTAGAAATGCACTTTTTATGAAACTGCTGATATGACTGGAGTCTTCATCTCAAAAACTCTATTCGTGTCTTCATGTGTGAAACTTTTATGACGGAAAAACCTCTACGGCACCTTAAAGTCAGTTTAGATGGACAGCATCTGCTAAATGTTACGTAACTAACTTGCATCTCTCACAATGAAATAGTTCAACAGCCATCAAACAAACAAAACCTGCCTGATGGAAAACAGAACCCGTCGTGTGTGTGTGTGTGCGTGCAGATATTCAGACAAACTGCAGGACACACTTTTGTCCTTCAGCGTAACATGTTCTGCTCAAATATTTCTTATTTATAAAGTTTGGACAGTGAGCGTGTTGGTTTTAAAACACAGAAACCACACTGCAGTGCGTGTGAGTGTCAGATGCACTTTATTTAGGTGCCAAACAAAACAAAAAAAAGAGTGTCACCCTTCAGTCATTCAGAAGAGTTGAGCACAGGTCCACATAAAAAAATATAAAATCAATACTGACTCAGAGCTCTCTATTCAAACACACACACTCACACACCTCCGTAATCTCTATATGTTCAGCCTTGAGATCCAACCTCAAGCACGGCCAGGAGGAGGACACCAAGAAAAACTGGCAACCTCTGTACAAATAGATATACAGTCAAGCAATAGCCTTCATCGTCAGCATCAATGACCCACACGAGCATGGCAGAATATTGAGAACGAGTGCAGAAAGGGGCTGCGATGCTGAAGAGACGCACGAGAAAGAGAGTGATACAATCGAGAGAGACAGAAAAAGAGACGAGTCCTACAGAGCCATATGAGATACTAAATTAGCAAAAGTTCTGTCCAGATGTGTCCCCGTCCAATCAGAGACAGGGACTTACGCTGCATTCCATTCGCTTGGAAAGTTAAC